CAAGGAACAGCGTCCCCAGCGACAGGGGCTCGCTGCCGCCGGAGGCGGCGGGGGCGGCCGCGTGCAGCCGCGAGAGCCAGTCCACCGCCGCCGACCGAGCGGCGGGATCAACGACGACCCCGCCCGTGATGTACCGGGCCCCCGCGGCGAGCGCGGCCTCCTGCCGGCGGAGAAACGCGTGCCTCTCGTCGTCGTACTCGCGGGAGGAGTGTGCGTCGGCTCCCGTGAGCGGAGTAGTAGTAGCAGCAGCCGTGTTCATCGCGCCGCCGCCGCCGCCGCTGGGAGAAAATTCCACAGGAATGTTGTTGGAATTCTCCTCCTTGTTCAAGTACGTGGCGACGGCAACAAGCCGCGCCGCCGCTGCCGCCGGAGAACGTTCTGCTGACTGGATCATCACTCTGCCGCGAGGAGGAGAAGAAGAATAAAGCCTGCGGCCGCCGGACGGCTGCCGCAACGGCGCCATCGGCACCTGCAGGGAGGCGGCGTACGACACCTCCGGCGGGGGCGGCGGCGGGATGTTGTAGAGGAGCTCGGGGCGAAAAGCGGCGATTTCGTTCTTCTTGCCGGCCCCAAACCGACCTCCAGATGGAACTCTGACCAACCCACACGTAACCGCCACGGGAGCAGCCTCGGCAGGATGATGATAATGATGGGTCGACGGCAGCACCGCCCGACACGGCGTGAAGATAGCGTCGAGGATGGGATCATGGGGCACGATCATCGGCATGTCCTGGCTCTGCTGCTGCTGCTGCTGCTGCTGTGGGTGGTGGTGGTGGTTGTCTGTGCCGCCGTAGCCGCCGCCGTCGCCGACCAAGTAGGGCTGGTGCTCGTCAAAATTGAAGACTGGCTGGAAGAGTTTCGCCGCACCACCACCGAGCGAGGAACCCGATGACGACGAGGAAGCAGCCGCCTCCCACACGCGCCCGCCGCCCCCGACCAAACCCCCGCGCCCCCACGCGGTGGGAGCGGGGTCCTCCACCAGGCGGTCTACGAAGCGCTCCGCGTCGAAGGGCTCCATCTCCTCGTCCGAGTCGTCGATCACGGTGCTGTCCGCTCGTCGAAGCTCCCCGCCGCGGCTGCTACTACCGTTTTGCTGCTGCATCTCGTCACTCGCGTTGCTGCTGCTGCCGCCGCCACCACCGAAAAATAACTCATCGCCATCACGCGCCGCCGTCGACGCCCCGGCCGCGCCCTGCTGCTGTACACCCCACGACACCGGGACCCACGTCGCTGACGCCTTCATGCCAGCAGAAACATTCGTGTTATCGGAGTCGATGTAGCGAGCAGCGTCCTCCAGTAGCAGCAGAGACATCAACGAACGCGAACCCTCCTCCTCCTCCTCCACCTCAACCCGTCTACGACCAGACCGCCCTTTGGGGGCCAACCCCAGCGTTGGTGTAGACTCAGCACATGCTGAGCGACGGCGACAAGCCCAGGAGCGGGACTTGTGGTTGGGGTGCGAGGGGGGGGCGCCCACCGACGGCGTGATTATCGGCGTTGGCGGGAAAGTTTGGGAGCTTGTGATGCTCGTGAAAAAATTGTGTGTGGCGCGCGTGGAAGACGGGGGCGCGCGGAGACATCATCAATTTTGAAAAAAAAAAAAACTTGTATCGTTTCCGGCGTCAGATGAGGACTGAGAATAGTTTCCTAGAAATTTCGAACTTCACGACCACGCTATGGGAGTGGGTGCTATGCTGCTGTAGATATTATTACGTTGTCTAGCACATAACAGCAACAGCAGTACATCTAGAGCTTGCATTCGTGTCACCAATCTCTTTCCCCAGCGGTGGCAAAGAAGGCGCCAAAAACTGCTTGCATGCAGGGGGGATCACTTTTTCTCGGGTGCAATCGATGACGTCACACAGGAGGCCGTCGAGGAACCACGACCGTCCGTTCATCAGCTCACAGCTCACAGCGCCTTGCTTCTTCTGTCCAGAGGAACGTGCGTCAACCATTCTCTCTGTCTCTCTCGTCGCCACAAGACGGGATGAGGATGCACCTACCTCATGTTGCGTACTCTTATCGGAAGCGGTTGCGGCAGAAAAAGTGCGAGTTTTGCGCACGAACCTACGCTTCTTGTACGGCTGTCAGCAGTGTACAGCTGCTACTTATCCTACTCAGTACAATGCACACGAAAGTGCGAAGTTTTAATTATACATATATGCGTACGAGCTAGTACTTCATATCAGTCACTACGAAAATCGCTTTTCTACAGTAATGGACTACCAGTACAAGTGATGATGAGCAAGAACAGTTCCAGGTGCATACAGCGTGTGTATCTGTTTGTAGCGGTGGTTGCAGCTGGGTGGTTGACCTCTTAGGCTCGATCCTATCGACGACGCCAAAAAAAAGTTTAATCGAGGCAACGACGTACTGCTGTCAATGCACCTATCTATATGCATACATATCTGTGTTGCGTAATGTTGGTTGGGTCGAAGATGTTCGCACTCGTTTGTACCATGCACGATGGGCCAAGAAAAAAAAAGAAGTAAATTCTTGTGCAGACCTATACCTCAGAAGAAGAAGACACAATCGCCACCTTGCAATTTACATTCAGACACCACACACACAGGACAGAGCGCACGACCAACATCTTGAAGTCAAGAATTTTCTAGCGAACTAACGAGCGGGTCACTCTAAAATTCTGCGAGTAAAGCCGAAGACACGGCAGCAGCCGTGGCGACAGCAGCAAGCAGCAGCAGCAGTGGTTGAAAGCTTGCGCAAGCCAACCCCGCCAGCCGGTATCCCGCTTCTAAAATCACCGACAAGCAGCAGCACCACTTTTTCTTTTCTGTACGTGCGGACTCCGAATGAGTGCCACCTTGTTCCACAAGCCCATCTGAGACCAAATCTTACCCTCTCCGCCTCACCCCGCCCCCATCCTTTCTACATTGTAGCAGCACTACCATTGGGTCTGGCTCGGAGAGAAGCGACGCGACTGTTTGCACCTGAACACGCGACCCTCTCTCTATTGTTTAACAATAGCATCAAAACGTTACACACGTGAACGCCACCGCACACCTCTAACAACAACGAAACGAAAACAAAACCGAACCCCGCGTCGACTCATAAAGAAATAAACGGCCACCTCCAATCTCTTTAGCTCTCTCTTCTCTCTATCCCGTATCTCCCTTTCAGGCCCACAACAACTTAAACCTTGGGCATAGCGCCGTCCATGAAAATCTGCTCCGCCACCCCGGCCTTCCACATGCCGAAAAAAAAGTTGTCGCGAAACGCCTCTCCCAAGGCCCCGCCCCCCGCCGCCCCTCCCAGGGTTTCCACCGCCCCGACGAACGCGCTCTTGGCGAGCACCAGGCTGGTGTCGGGCTTGCGAGCTCGCTCGTAGTCCCGGAGGGCGGCGATGAGGCTTCCCTCGAAGGCGGCCCCGCTGTTGAGGTCGGCCAGGCGTCTCGCGAGGCAGTACGCGTCCTGTTGTATCCGGGGGGGGGGGGGGGAGGGGGG